TGAGTAGAAACATGCATATTTCTCAAAGTACTTTACCCAACAGGCAAATTAATTAGCAAACCTTGAGTTGGCCAATTTTTAGATCTCATTTTTATTTCTTTAGTTCTTATTTATTTATTTATTTTTAAATTGAATTAAAATAGTTATAGTTTTTTAATAAATATTTAATAGCTTTTAAATTCTTTTAACGGAATGGACCATATTGGCTAACATGTCTAAACATAGGAACTAAATTTGTCAAATTAAAAATGTAGGGACCAAATTGGCCAACACAGTAAAACACAAGAGCCATTTTGACATTTAAGCCTATTTTCTATGTATAGAAAAATTTAGTACAATATACAAACACCCTAATCCTTTTTTTTTTTAGGGTCAACTAATTATACTAATAGCTGTCGATTTTTGGGTTTTTTTTTGGGTGTGTTTATAGTTTTTAAATGGTATAGGATTACTTTATAAGACTATGTCCAAGATTGGGTATATAACTAAATTTGTATTAAATTATTAGAATAATATTAAACACATAAAAACAATACAAATTTATAAATAAACCCAATCCTAGACATGTATTTATAAAAAAAACCCAAACACTATTTAAACATAGAAACACACCCAAAATCAACCCCAAAATCAACAATTGTATATTTTTTGGGTGTGTTTATAAATGGGTTTTGAGTATGTATAATGATGGGTTTTGGGTGTATTTATAAAGTGTTTTGGGTGTTGGGTTTTTTTTATAATTTCAGCCCCCATTTTGGGTGTTTTAGTGAAACTCCCTAAAAACAAAGCCTACCCGAGGAATGAGCCTGAGATAGTATAGATATTGCATCAAGGTTACCACAACGGAGTTTTCAATGTTGGCAAACACTAAGCATGCTCGACATGACATGATGAAAGATGATGATGAGGAAGAAGAAGAAGAGGATTGAACGAATGAATCGTCCAAATCATGTACGTACACTGCATATATATGTAATGTACTAGCAGTTCTAGAAGGGCTATGAATAACATCTGCTAGCTAGCTCTTTGCTTCCATATATAAATATGTATAAAATATTCTTAAATAAGAGATATATACAGTAATATTCTTGATGGTGGTCTCTTTTGTTTTTAGTTTTTCTAGTTTTAGATCTCATTTTTATTTCTTTAGTTCTTATTTATTTATTTATTTTTAAATTGAATTCAAATGGTTATAGTTTCTTAACAAATATTTAATATATTTTAAATTCTTTTAAGGGAATACCATATTGTCTAACATGTCTAAACATAGGGATTAAATTGGCCAACACAGAGACCATTTTGACATTTAAACTTATTTTTTATGTATAAAAAAAATAGTAAAATATACAACAGCCTAATCCTTTTTTTTTTTTTTTTTTTTTTTTTTTTTTTTTTTTTTTTTCAACTAATTATACTGACGTTGGCCAAAATATATTGCCAACTGATAAGCCACAGGGTACATCATTATGTTTGTTACATGGTGTTGCCATTAAATTTTTGCTACCACAATAAGGTATGTGGCCAATTGAACACTAGATTCTATTGAAACAGTAAATGTAGCTCATACAGCAATGAACTCAGGCTTGCATACCTCTTTTTGCTTATGTATAATTGTAACAGTATTAGTATATGTGATGTACCTGGTTATTATAGTTAAAGGGCAATGAAGGAAATTGGCTCCATCTAAAAAGAATATGAACATGTAATTCTTCCCAAAGACAGAAGGAGAAATTTGGTTTAGTTCTTATTCAGTCATCATGTGATACATCATATCAGAAGAAAAACTAAGCAGAAAGGAGCAGCTAAGTTATTCTCGCAGGATATATATCTTGTATACATACAGAAAAAGACACTGGTGGATGGAATCTTGCCTATTGATTAGGCGAATTTAGTGGTACAACCAATGTCGGCTAGTTATCTACAAAGAAAAAGGTGTCCTTAACTCTAGATGTGATTGATAATTTTTTGTTTAAGTCCACATGTTAGGTTTAAAAATTCACCACACATGTAGGGGTGAGAATGTGAAAATGAAAGATGTTCCACATTGAAAAGTTGAAAAACCTAACAATGACTTATAAGGTGTTGGGTTATTCCCCTAATTGCCAATTAATTTTGAGATAGAACCTTAACTTTCTTAATACATGTGATCGATACACATGCATACATAAACTATTTTTTGTGGGTGACCATTATATATACTCTCTTTTCTTTTTCTTTCTTCTCTCTCTCTTTTCTTGTTCTTCTTTCTCTCCACCATTTTTCTTCTCTCTTTTCTTTCCTTTTGTCTTTCTCTATTTGTTTCTCTTTTGTTTTATTAAATCTCTATTTCTCTCTTCCTCTTTTTTCATGTGTTTCTCTGTCTACGCATAAAATATTCTTAAATAAGAGATATATACAGTAATATTCTTGATGGTGGTCTATTTTGTTTTTAGTTTTTCTAGTTTTAGATCTCATTTTTATTTCTTTAGTTCTTATTTATTTATTTATTTTTAAATTGAATTCAAATGTTTATAGTTTTTTTTAATAAATATTTAATAGCTTTTAAATTCTTTTAAGGGAATACCATATTGTCTAACATGTCTAAACACAAGGATTAAATTTGTCAAATTGAAAACATAAGGACCAAATTGGCCAACACAGTAAAACATAGAGACCATTTTGACATTTAAAGCCTATTTTTTATGTATAGAACAAGTTAGTAAAATATACTAACGTCCTTTTTTTTTTTTTTTTTTTTTTTTTTTTTTTTTTTTTTAATTTTTAATTTTTTTTTCTGGTCAACTAATTATACTGACGTTGGCCAAAATATATTGCCAATTGATAAGCCATAGGGTACATCATTATGTTTGTTACATGGTGTTGCCATTAATTTTTTGCTACGACAAATAAGGTATGTGGCCAATTGAACACTAGATTATACTGAAATTGTAATTGTAGCTCATACAACAATGAACTCAGGCTTGCAGACCTCTTTTTGCTTATGTATAATTGTAACAGTATTAGCATATGTGATGTACCTGGTTATTGTAGTTAAAGGGCAATGAAGTAAATTGGCTCCATCTAAAAAGAATATGAACATGTAATTCTTCCCAAAGACAGAAGGAGAAATTTGGTTTAGTTCTTATTCAGTCATCATGTGATACATCATATCAGAAGAAAAACTAAGCAGAAAGGAGCAGCTAAGTTATTCTCGCCGGATATATATCTTGTATACATACAGAAGAAGACAGTGGTGGGTGGAATCTTGCCTATTGATTAGGCGAATTCAGTGGTACAACCAATGTCAGCTAGTTAGATCTACAAAGAAAAAGGTGTCCTTGACTGATGTGATAATTTTTTGTTTAAGTCCACATGTTAGGTTTAAAAATTCACCACAGATGTAGGGCTGAGAATGTGAAAGTGAAAGATGTCCCACATTGAAAAGTTGAAAAACTTAACAATGACTTACAAGGTATTGTGCTACTCCCTTAATTGTCAATTAATTTTGAGATAAAACCTCAACTTCCTTAATAGATGTGATTGATCCACATGCATACATAAACTATTTTTTGTAGGTGGCCTTTATATATAAGAGAATTGCAGCTGGTTAGCGGATGAAACCAAGCAAGGGTGGACCTACTTTAGAAGTACAATAATGTGCGGTGCTGTAATAGAGGTAGAGCCCACCTATACAATAAGGCCCATCCCTATTAGAGAAGCGATACACAATGTGTTATAAATATATAGTAAGCCTAGCATTTTCCTTGTTGTTAGGAAAAAATTGGAGTACTCTGCCTTTGAAGAGAAGAAAGTTGAACAAAATACAGAGGAGGAGCTACTTTCGATCTTTAAGAATTTTAAACTCCATTTAGCTTTTTTCATTTCTCTAGTGTGTCACACACGCTAAAGATTTACCAACCTTACATGGTGTTGCCATTAATTTTTTGCTACCGCAAATAAGGTATGTGGCCAATTGAACACTAGATGTGATTGATCCACATGCATACATAAAACTAATTTTTGTGGGTGGCTTTTATATATGAGAGGCTTGCAGCTGGTTAGCAGATGGTACCAAGCAAGGGTGGACCTACTTTAGGGCTGGAGTGGGCTCCAGTCCAAAGTCCAAAGGGGGGGGGGGGGGGGGGGGGGGGAGGGAGGATTAATAAAAGAGTGGCTCGATCATCAATAGGCCTCTCCTTATTCATTCTATAGGGTGGGGCCGCAAACTTCAACTATTCCCGTTGAGGTGAACAAGTTGATGCAGGTCCAACTCTCTGCTATATGATCTTTGCTTGCGGCATCTCTAACTACTCGGTTAGCGTCTTTCACTTAATGAATCATGCTTTTTTCAAAGCATTACTACTCCTGAGTGCAAGTTCGGTGATTCATGCCATGTCTGAGGGGGAGTTGGAAAGATGGCACGGGACAAAGCTAGAATTCGAGCGAAAAAGGCGTTACATGAGATGAAGATGTCCACATAAGTTACAAAGAAACAAGTAGAAGAATGGAGTGTAGGATTGGTATGGGTCACGTGCGGGCTACCCCAGCTCGGCAATTCATTTGGTGACTTTGAGAGTAGGTTTAATTTGTAAGCCAAATTTAGATAAATCAAATTTTGGCCCAAAATTTCTCTCTATCTGTCTCCGTATTCTCTTTCTTCTTTACTCCTTTCGCCTGTTTTCTTCTTTCTTTTCTCTCTCCTCTCTTTTCTTGTTCTTCTTCTTCTCTCCGCCATTTTTCTTCTTTCTCTTTCTTTCCTTTTGTCTTTCTCTATTTGTTCTATTAAATCTCTATTTCTCTCTTCTTTTTTCATGTGTTTCTCTGTCTACACATATTGATGGTGGTTTTATGTGGTGAAGATGTTATGAGCTGATGTTGAATAGGCGGTTTGATCATCTTGAGCTTGTGGGTGTTTTGGTGGAGGACCCGACTGTCGTCTGAATCACATAGGTGTCCAAAAAAAAATTTAGCCCACCCCTGTAAAAAAATCGTGGGTCTGCCATTGTAACCAAGGTGAAGATATGTCTACAAGCTTCTTAATCGTAAGGCCTAAAATTGGTGATAACAAGACATCTGAGGATGCTAAAGTGAACATCGAGCAGGAAAACAACAGCAGCTCGAACCCAGCAAAGGGTTCCAAAAGCTGTGCTACTTCTAGTACAACTACCAAGCCCAAGAATGATACTGAGAGAGGAGAGGCCAAAAGAGGCGATGCCTTCCACATTTCTGGGAATAAAATTGAGGGGAGCAATTCAGTTAGTGTAGAAATTTTCATGTTTGGCAACAAAAACGTCTATAAAGGCCACAAGAAAGAAAAACAAGTCGACTCAAGAAGTGGAGAAAAAACAAGTCGACTCAAGAAGTGGAGAAACCGACTCGGCCTCCGGTGGTGAAAACGAAGCGTGAACTCAGGTGATCTGTAGTCTGTAGGCCTCTTTATTTTATGTATGCACCATTTCTTATGTAATTTGATAATCAAGATTGAATATTATCCTTTACACAAGCCCTTTTAGTTTTGAGTTGGTTTCCTATGCCAGATTCCTTCGTGTAGTTCTACTATCTAACGATTATGTGCAGCGATCAGTGATCCATGATGATTGATGACTATCATAGACAGGCAATAAGGTCCCCATGATTGATGAAATTGTTTCTTCACCAAAGGTATATTTCCTTGTAGTGGATGAAATGAATGTAAGCTTAATTAAGGGCTTCACACTCAATTCTAGTGGAATAAAAACTCATGTGCAGAAATAGAAATCATAAACAAAACTCTGCTAGTAAATTCATACAGGTGTAAAACAAATTAAACAAAAGTTGTAGCAATCCTACAAGATATGAACTAGGGATGGGCATGGTCTGGTTCGGTCCGATTCTCATCTCAAATTGGAATCGAAATTGGTGCTATTTAATCGGTCTGATTTGATCTGATTTTAGTAATTTTTTTTTAAATCGGCCAGTTCGGTTCTCACTAGTTCTGGTCCTATTTTTGGTTTTTCCAGTTTTGAATTGGATTATTTATGTTTTTATTATTTATTAAATACAAATTCCTACTAAGATTTTATTTTTTGGGCTTGAAAATTAACAAATAATCCAATTTCATACAAAGAGAGATATTGAGCCTAAAAAAAAGAGATGTTTTGATGTTGGACTTGGAAAAATATTAGTTATAAGATTAAAAACATAGCAGTGGATTTAAATAATTTTGTAAAAATAAATAAATTATACACTACTGGTCCGGTTTGATATGGTCCAGTTTGGTGCGATGTGAAATCAAAATCAAAATCGATTGGAACCGATTCAGTCCTATTTGATGCCAGTTTATTGACTTTTTTAATTAACTAATTTTTTTCATTTTGTCCAATTCAGTGTTCCGATACCCAATGAACTTCGCGGTGAGCTGTAAAGCTGTCAAAATAACAAAACCAGTCCATGCGCAACCATTCACTTATATAATGATTATTGGGATGTCTTTGTCAAATACATGATGGATGAACTGTTAGCGAGATCCTAGCTTAATTAGTATATTTATTTCCTAGTTTATTATGATTATATTTCTTTTTCTTTTTTGTACAAATATTGTGTAATTAGGTTTTTATCTTGTTTCCTAATTTGACACTCCTAGGGTTACATCCATGTACTATAAATACCTTATTTTGGAGAATGAAATATAACCTGAAAAATATTATACTCATATTGTTTGACTTGGCATCAGAGCCAACTTTTCTGGTGACCTGTGTATTGTGCCCACCCCTGTTCTATCCCCATATTATTTTTTTTCTCTACCTGTGCTGTGTGTGCCCTCCTGGGTTTGTGTGTTATGTTGTAGTGTTCGTGCCTTTACTGTGTTCGTGCCATTCCTGTGTTCGTGCATCTGTCGTATTTGTGCCTTTGCTGTATTCCATTGTGTACTCTACTGTGTTCGTGCATGTCTTCTTGCATCTACCTTATTTGTGCCTCTACTATGTTTCGTTGTATACTCTGCCGTGATATGTTGAGTTTTTGCTGCAATCATGGGTGATAACTCCATTGTTGGTGCTGTTGCTACTGCCTCTGCAAATTTGTGTGTTTTTTATTCTATTCCAGGTACTGTATCTAATACTTGGATAATTGACACTGGTGTTTCTAATCATATGACTTATGATGCTAAAATTTTTTATAGTTGTCTAGTAACATTCGTGACCCATACATAACTAGTGCTAATGGCTTGCCCTTTCCAATTACTGGTGAGGGCACAATCTCTCTCACTCCAACTCTGTACTTGTCTCGTGCGTTACTAGTTCCCAATATCCATTGTAACTTGTTATTTGTTGGTCGATTACTTGATACACTTAATGCTTTTGCTACTTTCTATCCTACACATTGCACTTTTCAGGATCTCAAGACTTATGAGACGATTGGGCATGGTAAACGGATAAGGGGGTTATATTATTTGACATTGCCTTCTGCACAAGTTCGTGCTCGTGTCGTTAATACTGTTCAAAGTTGCAATGTCAAAGACAAACAACAAATTTGGTTATGGCATTGTTGACAGGACTCGCCCTGAATTCCTAGGAACCCGAGACGAATCCTATGGAATTCCTGACATCACCCCGATGTCGAGCCCACTTCTGAAACTATAGCCACCTTTTTCCAAAAAAGGATAAGGGCACGAAATTTTCTACCGAAATTTCGGCAAAGTCTCCCCTGTAAATTGAACATTTCCCAAATTTCAACCTGCAACAAAACACAATTTAACAACACCAACCAGCAGCATGCATAATATAGTCTCATGCAATTCACATAATCGGCATCCGGCCTTCAAATATTCTGAAACCAAACTACCAACAAAGCTCTTGAGCCAAATAAAATACTTTAGATAAGGCAATTACTAAACTTAAACATAATTATTAAAGCCAAATGCAAATTTATATCATCTAACTTTCCCAATTTCAACATACGACGTTTTAACCTCCTAACACAATCACATCTCGTTCTCACCCGAATTTTAGGACCAACGACAAGGTCCGCACCACATTCAATAAAACACATAAGTAAGATTTAACCCGCGGCTACACCTAGGCATTACTTTAGGCTGCCTACGTACCCTCGCGAGGGATCAAGCCACACGTAGTTTTTTCGTATAAATTTTCCAAAACCATCAACATGAAATCAATTACAGAAATCCCAAGCAAAACCTTTTTCAAACATCAGTCGTTCCCAACTCGATATAATAATCCTTGATTCATCTCTCTGATAATCACATAATCTCCCCATACGCCGGAAAATCCAATGCCCCGTATGGGGCCTGTCAACACACCGGAAAATCCTACACCATGTGCAACCTCAACATAATATCACAATATCTCCCCATACGCTGGGACTACCAACACCACGTATGGGGCCTATCTGCACGCCGGAAAATCCTACAACACGTGGGACCTTACAATCATATCACAATCTCTCCCCATACGCCGGAACTACCAACGCCACGTATGGGGTCTGTCATCATGCCAGAAAATCCTACGACACATGTGACCTCATCATCATATCACAATATCTCCCCATACACCGGAACTACTAACGCCACGTATAGGGCCTATCCGCACGCCGGAAAATCCTACGACACGGGGGACCTCACAATCACAGGGTGGTACTTACACAGTGAAATCAAACATCTTTATCTCTTCATAATATATTTATATATACTTTCCAATATTGCATAAAGCTCAACCCTAATGTAGCATCTGATAATCCCTCAATTAAAGACAATAAATTAATATCCTAAATCCACATAATCAACATAACTCCACAACGCTCAAGACCTGTCACTACGGGCATTATAATCCTCCTAGGAAGGTAAGACTACCTCTGAAGACTCAAGGTCAACCAAGGGTCAAACTACTCAAACTTGGTCAAATGGGCCCATTGGACCCACGATCTCCGTTCTCTGATTCGAAAGTTCCTATATGTTCTACAAGGCTTAGGACACACGTCCTGCAAGTTTGGTCCAAATTGGACGATCGAATGACTACTATAACCCTAACTCTAGGGTTGGAATTTCCGGAGCATTCGGGACTCCGTTTTACGATCCGTGGAATCCTACACAATCCTAAGGATGTCAAGATTTATTTATAATAAACTCAGGACCATACAGCGGTCCAAACCTAGTGAACCCGGATAACACGCAATAGGTGATATCCGTTCAAGACTCAAACGGTATCCAAATAGAAATCCGAGCACACCTACACGCTCATGAGGATCAGGAGATCATTTTAGAACCTAAAGCCGGTCCATTTTCCTAGCCCACGCGCCGGCACAACGTGGGTGACTTGAGCAATTTTTGGCGGCCAGAAAAACTCCAAACCGCTGGCCAAGCTTCCTATCCTAGGTGTAAAATCCCATTTTGAGTCGCTTTTGTTCTTGAGCATACCCCAAAAACTGACCGGAAGTGGTCGGAATTTCATCCCAAAATTCAGCCGAAATCCAATTCAAAAATCAAGCTATCTACGCTCAAAATTGATGTAATTCTACCCAACCATCAGCTAGATCGTGAAAAATAGGTGAGAAGGCATACCTCACTTGTCGGAAACTATGGCCGGATGACGGAGAACGAAGCCAGTGAAAAACTGTCAAAAATCGACCACTTCTCACGGCTTTTTTGGCGGATTCCGGTGGTGGCTGACGTCGGGGATGGTCGGGAAAGGCTGCTGGGGTGGCGGCGGTTCAAACTCGACCGGTCTGGTGGCCGGTAGTGCTCCGTGGCGGCGGCGGTGGCCAAAAATGGCAGTCGGTGAATAGTACCAGGAAGGGTGTTGAGCGAACCAGTCAGAGGAGAGAGAGAGAGAGAAATGAGGGTTTTTTTTCTGACTTTTATCAAACCCATTTTCACAATATTTACGAATATGCCACTGAGGGTATTTTGATCGTATCTCTCTCGTTACAACTCCGATTCGAGCCCACTACGTGTCTACGGACTCATCTCGCCACGCTCTACGAAACGGTACAGTCAGAATTCCCAAATTCCTTCCCGATCAACAAGTCAACTTTAAAGCTAATAAAATATGCTAGGGGCAAAATGGTCCTTTATATTAATAGATTAATATTTACCAATTTATTTAGGACCGGGTCGTTACAATCGTCGCTTGGGACACCCGTCAATTGGCTACCTTAAGCGTCTGTTTCCATCTTTATTCCACTTTTGTGATGAGTCCAGTTTTAAGTATGAGACATGTATTTTGGCCAAGAGTCATCGCACTGTGTTTCCTTTGAGTGACAGTAAAACTGCAAAGCCTTTTGATTTAGTGCATTCTGATTTAGTGGGGTCTGGCTCGTTGGTTCGTCACATTTATTGATGATTGTACCTGACTCACTTGGGTTTTCTTGCTGAAAAATAAACATGATGTTGCTTCAATCCTTCTAGAGTTCTGTACTATGGTGTCTACTTAGTTTCATGCTTGGGTCAAAGTATTCCGGACTGATAACGGAAGTGAATATGTGAATAACACTTTGGCATCTTTCTTCTTTGCTCAAGGTATTATTCACCAAACAATAACCTCATTTACTCCTCAACAGAATGGTGTGTCTGAACGCAAGAATCGTCAGTTACTTGAAGTTGCCCGCTTCCTTATGTTGGACATGTCTGTTCCCCATCATATTTGGGGGCATGCTGTTTTATCTGCTGCATATTTGATTAATCGTACTCCTAGTCGAGTTTTTGATTTCAAGACTCCACATGATGTATTTGGTGACCATGTTTCCCCTGTCTCAGTCTCTAAGTTGCCCCTTAAATTTTTTGGGTGTATTGCCTATGTTCATGTCTACTCTCATCAACGGAGTAAACTTGATCCTTGTGCTATGCGATGTGTTTTTATTGGTTACTCTTCTACTCAGAAAGGTTATAAGTGCTATCATCCACCTACCCAAAAGGTGCATGTTACTTTGGACGTGACTTTCCATGAAGAAGTGTCATATTATGTCTCTCATTCCTCTCCAACTCAGGGGAAAGGGGGAGCGAATTTGAGAGTCTTGGATTGGAGAATGATGTGTTTGAAGATACTGCTTTCAGAAAGGAAACGACTTGTCGCACTGAAGCAAGTGATCGGTCGCCCATATCTGAAGATGAAACTTGTGGTCCCGGTGAAGAAACGACTGATCGCCCTTTGGAACTCGACCAGTCGCCCATGTCTGGAGATGAAACAAGTGCTCTTGGTGTCGAAACGATCGGTCACACTGAAGCAAGCGACCAGTCGCCTGTATCTGAAAATAATGACAGTGATTCTTGTATGGATGAGTTCGTTGCAATACCCCCTCTGCCCTGCCAGTGCCCCAATTTCTCGTGAGAGTGAATCAAGTGAGGTAATTTCTAATGATCTATCTGTGTTAACTTATCAGTTACCCCTACGAACCACTCGTGGGAAACCTAAAGTACAATATTCTCCGGATACACATGCCAAGTCTAAATATCTCATTAGCCATTGTGTGTCAACTCATCGTTTGTCTAAGTCATATGCATTATATTTGTGTCAATTATCTAGTGTATGTGTGCCAACTAAGCTGCAGAATGCTTTATCTAATCCCAAATGGATGGATGCCATGAATATTGAAATGGATGCCTTAAACAAGAACAAAACATGAGATTTAGTTCCTTTGCCAAGAGGGAAGAAAGCTGTTGGATGTAGATGGGTGTTTACTTTGAAGCATAAAGCTGATGGTTCCATTGACTGTTACAAGGCTAGATTGGTAGCAAATGGTTATACTCATACCTATGGAGTTGATTATTTGGAGACTTTTGCTCCAGTGGCAAAACTTAATACTATGCGTATACTATTGTCCCTAGCTGCTAACCACAACTGGCCCTTATTACAATTCGATGTCAAAAATGCGTTTCTACATGGTGACCTCTAGGAGGAGATTTACATCGATCTTCCTCCTAATATTCCTGTAACCTCTAAGGAGGGTGTTGTGTGTAAGCTGCGGAAGTCTTTATATGGATTGAAGCAGCCTCCAAGAGCGTGGTTTAGGAGATTTGCAGTATCTATGAAGAAATTTGGGTATGTGCAGAGTAACTTAGACCATACTTTGTTTCTAAAGCGTCATAAAGGTAAATTGACAGCTTTAATTATTTATGTTGATAATATGATTGTGACTGGAGATGATAAGCCAGAAATGCAAAATCTTCAGAAGTATCTGGCTTCCGAGTTTGAAATGAAGTCATTGGGGGATTTGAAGTACTTTCTTAGGATTGAAGTTGCCAGATCGAAACATGGTATCTTTCTGTCTCAAAGAAAGTATATTTTGGATTTACTTGCGGAGACTGGAATGTTAGATTGTAAACCAATTGATACCCCTGGTGAACAGAATCATAAGTTGGGGTTATATCCTGATCAAGTCCCTATAGATAAAAAGCGTTATCAACGACTTGTGGGGAAATTGATTTATTTATCTCAGACACGTCCTGATATTGCATATGCAGTGAGTGTAGTGAGTTAGTTTATGCATTCTCCTAGTGAAGATCATATGGGTGCTGTGATGCGCATATTGAGGTATCTGAAAGTAACTCCTGGAAAGGGGTTAATGTTTTGCAAGTATGGTCATACATATGTGGAAGGGTATACGGATGCTGATTGGGCTGGTTCAGTCACTGATAGACGTTCTATGTCTAGGTATTTGACATTTGTTGGTGGTAATCTTGTTACTTGGATGAGTAAAAAGCAAAAAGTGGTGTCTAGGTCTAGTGCCGAGGCCGAGTACCGTGGGATGGCTCAAGGTGTGTGTAAGTTACTATGGTTGAGAAGATTGTTGAGAGATCTTGGGTTTGGACCCTAGAAACCCATGGATTTGTATTGTGATAATAAAGTTGCAATTGAGCATAACCCTGTGCAACATGATTGTACAAAGCACGTGGAGGTTGATCGACATTTCGTTAAAGAGAAGTTGGATGCTAAAATTATTTCTTTTCCGTTTATATCATCCGAGTATCAACTGGCAAATGTTCTTACGAAAGCTTTGTCTACTATAGTCTTTCTCAACTCGCTTGACAAGTTGGGCATACGTGACATCTTTGCTCCAACTTGAGGAGGAGTGTTAGCGAGATCCTAGCTCAATTAGGATATTTATTTCCTAGTTTATTAGGATTATATTTCTTTCCTTTTTGTACAGATATTGTGTAATTAGGTTTTTAAAGAACCCAAGACATATAAAGAATTTGGATACTTTTCTCACATCCCTTTCAATTGTATCATGATAATATATATATAAAGCAAAAGGCAGAGAATGGTGAAACATTCAAAATACCAGAAAATGCCCTTGGTTAATTCAAATATTAATAATTGAAATTATTAATTAAATGAGGGTAATATGGTAAATTCACATTTTTTCATATTAAAAAAAAATTAAAACAAAATCAAATAATAGGTCGTACTTTTATGGAACATAACTACCCATGTTATTTTTTTAAAATTCTAAAAATAAAAGAAAAAAGAAAAAAGAAAACCAATTGACATATGCATGAACATGTGCCAAGGGCTAGTATAATATAATTATAATAATCCTTAGTTACCAAAATTTTTCATGTATAAATATGGTATAAAAAGTTTAGCATTATCCTAGTAGTAGTGCTCATGTGCTAATTTGTCAGCAATTGTAAAGTATGCCAAAATAAATGATTAACACCATATGAACTTACTAAATAGTTAACATTAGTTTGAAAATTAAAGCTGCGTTCATCGCTTAAGCATTTAACCGATTGGTTGATGGAAGGAGTCCATGTATAGGTTTTATTTGAAATCAACCTTACAATTCGAGGGGTTTTAAGTAATTGACTTTTTGATAGTTGTTGATAGCACCCTACCTTACCAATAGAGCACCAAATATACTTAAGAGCAATATTAGGAAAAAGAAAAAGAAAAAGAAAATTGTTGCTCAAATGAAGCAAAATTAGGGATGGCAAAAATCCTTGCAAGGGCGGGTCCTCGTCGGGTCCCCAACTTTAACGGGGGGAGATTTCGGGGCCAAATGGGTATTGGGTACGAAGATCCCCGAACTTGAAAAATCCCCTACGAGTATGGGGAGGGGATGGTATTGGCATCCCCATCCCCGAACCCAACCCGAAAATATATATGTTTATATTTAAATAAATAAATATATAATTATAATATTTTTGTTTAATCCTAAGTTAACATCCCTCTTCTAATTTTTCCTAATCTTATTTGGAATTTCATATTGATATGATTTTGAATAGTTGAGTTGAACTTTATAGTTAATTTGGATGTGTTGAATGATAATTTAATATGAAACTTAATGTCAAAATGTATTATAAATATTTTTTATGCAAAAAAAAATCGGGGATTCGGGGCGGGTATGGGGAATAGTCCCCCGATGGAAACGGGGATGGGGATTCCACGAAACTTATTAAACGGGAATGGGTTCGGGGACGGAGGCGGGGATGGAGATGGTATTGTCATACCTAGCCCCTACCCGACCCGTTGCCATCCCTAAGCAAAACAAGTCGGCAAACATGAAAGATGCTTTGGAGCAATGCAAGCATAACAATATTAGGCTAAAATGCAGTTTTGCCCCAAAATTATACCATAATTGTTAATTTTCTCTCTTTTTTTGTTTTTTTTTTGTTTTTTTTTGTGTGGATAAATTAAAAACTTAAACTATATGAAAATGACCAATTAGGGACTTGCCGTCAATTTTTCCGATGTCCATCCACATTTCCGTCACTTTAAGGGGTAAATTCGTAATTTTAAAGGAAGATAATAATAATATATAAAAAATTCGGAAGTAAAAAAAACCCCAACTCCATTAGCCACACAACCATTGACGCCCACCCTCCTCCCCGGGCGACGACCCACCAGCCGCCAGCCACCTCCACCACAGCCCCTACCCCTTCTCTCTGATGCACCTCCCTCACCAACCTAGGCCTACCCTCCATCCACCTCCCCCCTTCCCGCCCCTTTCTGTCTCTCTGTCTCTCTCGACCCCTCCCAAACAGCCCACCAATCAGCATCAACCCTAACCCATCGAAAAAAAAGAAAGTGAATTTCCAACTCCAGCAAGTATTTGTTTGAATAAATAAATTCAGCCAGTAAACACAAAATTCAAGCATGGTAGAAAGAGAGAGAGATTGGGTGGCGGGGATGGAGCGGGGGGAGAGAGAGAGAGAGAGAGAGAGAGCAGAGGAGGGTGGCAGGGGGAGGGTGAGGGCGGAAAGGGAGGGAATTGCAGCTTTTTCTTTTTTTCTTTTTAAGTTTTGTATGTTTTTATCATTTTCTAACCTTTTTAGAATAAAAAATTGAGTGCAGGTCACGTGACAGAAATGTGGCTGGACATCCGAAAAATTGACAGCGAGTCCGCAATCGACCATTTGTATATAGTTTAAGGCCTTAATTTATACACACACACAAAAAAAAAAATTTAAGGAAAAAATTGACAATTATGGTATAATTCAAGGCAAAACCGCATTTTAATATTAACGTACATCCAATATGTTAGGTCATCAGCTCCAAGCCCACTTGTACAGTTTTTATTTTTTGGGTTATTTAGAATTTCCTCTGTGGCTACAATTATTTCATCATCAAACCTAAGGATAAATATATCAAAATTCAATATAACAACCAAATTTTTAATTTAATAAAATACATCTTGAGATGACAATCCAACTTTCCTCCTTCTTTCCATTTTTTGTTGTTGTCCCCAAACCCATTTACTTGGCAATCAAGCCACCTATATATCGACAATCTATTATATGAGGAGGAGGTCAACATATGAGTTAATTCAAGTGCAAATGGATAGGGGAAAAGGGTTTAGTCAGGATCAACCTCCAGCTGAAACAGTAACACTGATGTTGCGCCCAAAAGAAAATGATATTCCAAAGCTCCAGTGAAAGATAACTGAGGAAGAAGAGATGAAAAGGAATAAAGAAAAAGAAAGTGACGGCAGCAGCAGCAGAAGTAGGAACAATATTTGTCAGAATGAAATTTCCGCAACCAATGGCGCCACAGATGTTGGGGTCTCCAACTTTGACAACTACGCCGTCCAAGGTAAAGGGGGCAGCAAAGGAACGAAGGGCTTCCCTGAACGTGGCGGTGGTTACAACATTTCTGGCAATAAAATTAGTGCAGATGGAGCTAGAAAAGTTGGGATTCACAACTTCGGCAACACCACTTTTACTACTGAGGAGGATCATGGAGAAGAGTAGAAGGCGGCTCCAGACCACCAAGGCCACAAGAGGGGCCCACTGGCTAACTCATCATCGATCATATGGTTTGGGAAAATTAAATATGAAAAAATATATAAATAAAAGAGTAATCTCTTCTTCCATGTTTAATTTTATTATGTATACAGTATACGGTGTGCGAAAATAAGAACTTGTACGGTAATCACCCAGTCTTGTAAGCCTATTCTTATGTATATGTTATTTGTAATCATGGCTTAAAGTTTATTAATTACCTCGTACCCAAAAGTATTTGGTTCATTATGTTTGTTCTTTTAAACTAGGTTTATATATACTTGGTTCATGTAGGGTGGCATTTATATATATATATATATATATATATATATATATATAATTCGTTACTTAGAATTTGTCAGAGAACGATGTATATTAGGATGATCCCATGTCTGACAAGATTCAATATATGATTTTGGAAGATGATAGATATATGATGTTGCTTATGGAAGAAAGAGGGATGAATGATTTTAATAGTTTACAAGCACCGGAGGATATTTGGCACCATGATGGCTAACAAATATTCCAATAGCTTAGGTTCAATTATATGAAACAATTTGTGATGTGGTTTCTGAAACAAAGAAGAATGAATGAGAGAGGAGATAGAGGAAGAACATGGCAATTGCGAGGAGTTACGTGAGTTTTGTTAAGCTCATGAGGCAAAGTAGAAGGCCTCCAAATTTTTTGGATGATGATAAGAAATATTACACACATTTTTCATAAGAGTATCTTGAATGACAAATTTATTAGCTTAGTTTGATATACATTGTTGACTCATTTCTTGACAGCTCAACTTTTTAAGGCTTAGTGGTTGTCTAGCATGATATCATACCTCTGGTTCTAGAATGAGGCTACACGCGTAAGGGAGAGTGTTAACTAGCGTAGCCTGATATACAATTTTCTAAAAACCAAGTGAAAACATCACCATCTAAACATTTTTTATTATTATTAAGAAATCTTGGGCATCAAGAAAGCCAAATACGACCTTATTCGGTGGGTAGGATAAGTATTAGGATTAGATTAATGTAATTAAATCCTACGGTTTCATCATACTAAAAAATAAATATGAATACGATACAAGATAAGATAATACAGATGTCGACCCCCGCAAGGTCATTCAACATAAAAGAAAGCGAGAGAGACAACCGTTGAGGTGGGGTGTGGGTTAAGGGTTGATGTATGGTGGGTGGTGAGTGGTTTCCTCATATACATATACGCATGTAGCAAAATTTAATTGGCTTTACTCAAAAGGGTGCATACACCTCCATGTTCATCCATTGATTAATTTTGGTATGACCGTCAGATTATCTTGTGGTGCTACATTTCATCCATATTATACATGTGGTGTTATATATAGTTCCAGTTCACCCTAATCAAATCCTACCTCCTAATCCAATTCAATCATAATTGACATTTAGCTACATGCCTAAACTAATAAATAACACTCCTTCTCAAATTCATAATTTAAATGGAAAAAATAAGAAAAATAAGTTGTCACTGATTTGTTTACCCGTACCATAAGACCGACCGAGACACCATTCTAACACACCCATACCCTAAACCTAGTTTTAGCGTCACCAGGAACACAAGGGACATATAGTTTACAATATCACCAAGCAACTAAAAGGATACGAAAGATATAATAACTATGGAGAAGAAGAAGTGCTGAAGAGAGAAAAGTAAAGCTCTGTATATTCTCAGAAATTGTGTTTTTTGCATTGTGATTAAATGTGAACCACAGACCCAAGCTTATATAGCTGTGTAACCATAAGCTAACCTGCTTAACAGATTGCTTAACAGACTAACTAATCATACTACTAAGCACGTGAAGGGCTAACAAACTTTCCACCTCACCAAGGACACGTGTCACTAGTAACATCAGCTAACATTCCCCCTCAATCTCAGCTGGGTTGTTACCTAGCCTGAGATTGGAACGATGTCGAATGAACACTGGACTATGAAGGCCCTTGCTAAGAATATCTGCAACCTGACCATCTGTGGGAATATATTGCACAACCAAATCTCGACATTGAATTCTTTCTCTAACAAAGTGATAATCGATCTCCAAATGTTTAATACACGAGTGAAAAACTGGATTGACACTAAGAGCCAATGCTAACATATTATCACTATGAATAATAGGTGCCTCTGGCAGTGTCATATGCAAATCACACATTATCTGTCTAATCCAAGCAATGTCTGCTGCACAATTGGCTAGAGCACGGTATTCGGCTTCAGTGGAACTACGAGAGACTGCAGCTTGTTTCTTCGATGACCATGAGATTGGATTATCACCAAGAAATACAACATAACTTGTGGTAGAACGTCTGGTGTTAGGATCACCTGCCCAATCAGAGTCACAATAGCCAGATAAAAGCATAGAGCTAGGAGAGAATGTGATCCCATACTGGAGAGTACCTTGCAGATATCGCAAGATACGTTTGACCAAAGCAAAATGTGTATCAGTGGGAGCATTCATGAACTGACACACTGTGTTTACTGCAAAGGAAATATCTGGTCGTGTAAAGGTCAAATATTGTAATGCTCCAACAAGACTTCGATACAATGTTGGATCAGAAAGAAGTGTACCTTCATCTTTCAACACAGACTGATGAGGTTTAATTGGAGTCAAACATGGTTTACAAGTGTCCATGCCTGCCTTCTTAAACAAATCTCGAGCATACTTAGCTTGATTGACAAAAATATCACCATTGTCCTGATAATGAACCTCCAATCCCAGAAAATAGGTAAGACGACCTATGTCTTTCATATCAAATACCTCCCCAAAAGAATCAATAACAGATTGTACCACTTGTGTATCTGATCCAGTGATGATTATATCATCAACATACAATAATAGAATAACCACAGAGGTAGAATTTTGTCTGACAACAGACTAGGATCTGAGTGAGATGATTGAGACCCCAAAGAAGGCAGATAACCTTTAAACTTGGCATTCCATGCACGCGGTGCCTGTTTTAAACCATATAGGGATTTCTGTAATTTGCACACATAATTAGGATATGTAGAGTCAGTAAAACCTTGAGGTTACCTCAGATAAACCTCTTCTTGTAATTCCCCATGAAGGAAAGCATTTTTTACATCCAATTGCCGTAAATCCCATTTAAACATAGCAGCTAAACTGAGTACTAATCTGACTGTGGTGTGTCTCACTACAAGACTAAATGTTTCGTCATAATCCAAACTATGCTCTTGACTGAATCCTTGAGCGACCAGCCTAGCTTTGTATCGAGAAATTGTTCCATATGAATTTCTTTTTATTTTATATATCCACCTACATCCTACAATATTCTTGTCAGGAGGAGGAGGAACAAGATTCCATGTACCTTGTAATTGAAGAGCTTGGATTTCCTCTGCCACAGCCTGTTGCCATTCTGGTTGAGCTGCTGCTGCCTTAAAATAAGTTGGAGCCTCAGGTTCTATGACAGAAGTAAGCATAGTTGCAAAGCATGAGAATTCTGGAAATTGTCTTTTCTGAACAACCCCCGACTTGAGTCTGGTTTGCATAGGATGACAATTAGTAGAATGAGGCATTACATAGGCATCTGATGACTCATGAATATTTGAGTTAGGTGAAATAGGTAACACTACCTCCAATTGATTGGTTGAAGTAACAGGTAATATAGAACCTGATGAGAACTCCAAGGACTCAGTATTATTGGACATTGGAAGTTCTGAATGAGGTTCCATAGAAGACTGAGCAGAAGAGGTAGATTGTTGGGAAGATGTATGAGGCAAAGTAACTGAGATATTGACTGGCCTTGGATTAGATGAAGCAACTGTAGTAGAAATTGGAGGCGACTTTAACACCTTAAAGGGAAAGAGACTCTCATCATGAATCACATGTCTAGAAATGTGAAGTTTCTGATTGAGCATATTATAGCAATAAGCTTCTTCTTCGTTCAATAAATTCAGCTCTGATCCATGATAACTATGGAGAAGAAGAAGTGCTGAAGAGAGAAAAGTAAAGCTCTGTATATTCTCAGAAATTGTGTTTTTTACATTGTGATTAAATGAACCACAGACCCAAGCTTATATAGCTGTGTAACCATAAGCTAACCTGCTTAACAGATTGCTTAACAGACTAACTAATCATACTACTAAGCACGTGAAGGGCTAACAAACTTGCCACCTCACCAAGGACACGTGTCACTAGTAACATCAGCTAACAAGATATACATCTGTTGGTAGTTGTAGTTACTCTTGTTCTGAAATAACGGACTTTAAGGACAGGCTAATAAAATGTATTCAAATAATTGCATAAATTATTTGTAAGAAGTATTCGATATAGGTTAAAATATTTCTAATTAATGATTGGATTAAGGAGCGCGTACGAGGGTAAATCAACCTAACAATTATATTCTATACTTATATGTAGCTATATAAGTGGGTAGCCAATCGGCATGATTTAATTCAAGTCCACATGCAGAAGATTTCTTAGCGGCCTGGTTATGATCAGCCTCCAACTGATGAAGAAGCGTTGAAAGCCATCCAAATCCCCAGCAGAAGAGCAGTCAAGAGCCAGAACACCCAAACCCAAGCAAAAGTGGGTCAGAGGTAGACAAGATGAATGAAGGAGACGGCAAGTGGGAAATTCGTGGTAATGAAATTACAGCAAAGAAGAGCACAAACGTTGGGATTTCAGACTTCCACAACATAACAGGTCATGTTGAAAGGCGCAGGAGCCCCGAACGTGGTCACAACGTTCATGGGAATAAAATCAGTGCAGATGGAGGCAAGAATGTTGGGATTTCTAACTTTGGCAACTACACTGGCGGCTCAGCCTAAGCTCCAACGATCTGTGTCCGACAAGAAGTTATCCGTCGGGAAGTAATGAATAAAAATAAAAGTTAGCATTAAAGCAATTGAAGGACATGAATGATATGAAATAATAGTATGTTCTTCCATGCTTTAGTCTTAATATTATATTGGGAGTTTCACTAAAACACCCAAAATGGGGGCTGAAATTATAAAAAAACCCAACACCCAAAACACTTTATAAACACACCCAAAACCCATCATTACACACACTCAAAACCTATTTATAAACACACCCAAAAAATATACAATTGTTGATTTTGGGATTGATTTTGGGTGTGTTTCTATGTTTAAATATTGCTTGGGGTTTTTTATAAATACATGCCTAGGATTGGGTTTATTTATAAATTTGTATATTATATTAGGTAGGAGAAAATAAGAGCTGATACAATACAACGGCCGAGGCTTATAGGCCTCTCTTTTTCATGTATGATAATATCATATAGTAATAGTATTATGGAAGTATTATTTGTTGCGAGTATTTGTCTCACATTAAAAAGTTAAGAGATTGGCATGAGCTTATAAACAAGAAACGGAAATAGAACGCTAACAATGAAAATGAATCCTCACCTTAATACCTTGTCCGCGTGTGTTCTGCATTCCCATAACAACAATCAGCAATGTGATTTCTTCATCACTTGGTGATTATCTCGAAAATCTTTTGGTGTATCTGAAAATGTGCCCTTTTTTTTTTTTTTTTTTTTTTTTTTTTTTTTTTTAAATTTAAATTTATAAATCTACAGTTCTTAGTTATTTCTGTGGCTGCGTCAATTTCAAAATTGAGGACAATCTTTTTTTCTTCTATTTTTATGTTTACATGCTGTATATGGGGATTTTATTTTTATTTTTATTTTTAATTTTGCATATATGTATGTGTGTTTGAGCCTTGACATTTTCATGGTAAACAATGTGGGGACATTCGTTATGCGAAGTTATCCTCACATCTTAACTCTTGTCAGTTAACTCTCTTTTAAAAATTAATTTTTATAATACAAGCGATATTATCTAAATTATAAAGAGAGGGGAGTATTTTTACACATACTGTCAAAGTATTATGGAATTCAAACCCGAGAGTAGTCTTCAAGTTAATGCCATTTTTAACCAGCTAAACCCCGTCGGCTGTTAGACTCTCTTTTGATCATCTTCGTTTTAATACTTTTGAGAGTAAACGCATACAAAGTCGTTGTTGTTTTGTTTGGCAAACTAGGCTACAAGAGACTAAAGACGAAGCAACTAGCGGGTTGAGTGTAGGTGAGATAATAAAGAAATCAAAGTTAGCATTCAAGCCAACGACATGATTTAATTTAATACTAGTCTGTTCGTCATATGCGTTAATTTAATAATGTATTAGTTACGCGATATAATACAGTGACCGAAGCTTGTAGGCCTATTTTCATGTTCTATAATGTAATAGAGTCTTTGATTGGGTCAAACTTGTGTGTTACATTTCCTAACAACAATATGAAATACAATTTATTTACTTTCTTTGAATATTTACTAGAAAACTAAGGACCCGTTCGGTTATGTTTTAAGGGCCCGTTTTCATTTTCAGAGAACAAAAACAAACCAAGAACCCATTCGGTAGGCTAAAAACAGAAAACACTGAGAATGTTTCAATAAAATGAGAACACTTCACGTGTACTTCTGGAAAATATAAAAAAGATGTTTTCATTCTCACAGGAAACAAACGCCTAAAACACGCTGATTCTCAATCTCTCGCTCAATCTTCTCCCCCCATCACTTTACCCAGCAAAACAGAAATGAAAATCAAACCCACCACAACCATGACTGTCTGACCATCGACACCGTCATCGCCATTGACCCTGCCATTGTCACCAAACCTCACAGACCCAGTCCCCACATCACCACCTCCTATCAAACCCAGCCGACACCAACACCACCACCAAACACCCAATCGAACCCAATACACATCATCGCCACCTAGTAAAAAACCAATCGACCCCAACACCTCCACCACCACCAAACCCAATCAAAGGATCATCATCGCCATCACCACCCAATCAAGAGAGAGAGAGAGAGAGAGAGAGAGGTGGGTTGATGGGATTCATGCCATGAAAGGAAGGAAGGAAGGAATGAGTGGGTGCGGCGGCATGAAGAGATATTGAAAAAGAGGGAAGGGAGAAGAAAAGAGAAAGTACAGGAAGAAAGAAAGAAAGAAAGAAAGAAACGGCCTGGGAAGGGAGAAGAAAAGAGAAATGAGAGGAGGAAGAAAGAAAAGGGAAAAAGAAGAAAAATGAAAAATATAATAGATAAAAATAATTTTAACTTTTAAAAAACAATATAATTTTTTATTTGTCAAATTATAAATTTTTTAAAATATTTTTTAGAACATAAATTAGCAAAAATACACTTGAAAAATAATTCACATATTATTATTCTCAAATTGTACTACCAGACACGTTTTTATTTTTTGAATTTGTTTTCTAATTAATCTACCAGAAGCATTTTCAAATCTTGAAAATGCAAATTTGTTCTCTTGTTTTCATTATATGAAAATATTCTCAAAAATATTATCTGAAAACGTTACCAAACGGGCCCTGACATTTGTTTTGAGTGATTATCTCGAAGGCTTTTGTTCTATCTAAAAGCGCGACCAATCTTTTATCTTACAAAAGTACAAACTAAGAGAGGGCAAGACACAGACTCAAGCCTCTTAATTGTATGATGAATCCAATAACATCGTTGCTTACCAACTTTTTGTACCTGCACTATAGAATTCCGATGTGACTTATTAACTTTTTTAAAAGCAAGACACAAACTCAAAGCATTTTAAACTGTATCATGATAATGTAATTTACTACTAATGATAATATCATTGAGTATAGAATTTGGGTTTGACTAATAATTTGATGTAATGACACATTTTACGTACGTAATATTATTATAATGTGTGAACTGAAAGATCAAGTGGCCGTGAGAGGATTAGACCGAAGAATTTCTCAATATATAAAAAGGAGAGGCATATATGGTTTGGTAAAATATTGTTGGTCATGATCATGTTCTCCAACTAAAATTGTAGTAGTGAACTTGAAGGGATTCATAATAATGGAAGGGTACGGCAGCAACAGCAGATATGATCCTCTAAATGATATCAACAAGAAAAATGACGCCACAGATGTTGGTATTTCCAGCTCTCGCAGCTCACATGATGTCGACTGGAGCGATGCCGGCCGTGGCGGTCAAGGAAAGGTGCCCAAAGGTGGCGGTCACAACATTAGGAGAAATACCATTATAGGAAAGGGTTTCACAACTTTAGAAATGGCACTGAAGATGACGGCCACAGGAACAACTATATTAGTGAAAATGAAATTAGGGCACGCAATTGAGCCTCAAACGTTGGGATGTCCAACTTTCACAACCAGGATGGTGAAGGCCGCGGTGAAGGAAAGAAACCCAAAAGTGTCGTGGGTCACAACATTTGTATCAACAAAATTAGTGCAGATACTTCAACGAACGTGGGATTGCACGACTTTGGCAACATCAAACAGAACTGCAAGACTACTAGTACTAAAGATCATCATCGTTTGGGGGAAAATATTTTCAAAAGTTCGCATAAAGCAACTGAAGCACGTAAATAATTGAAATAAAACAATAGTCTGTTCTTCCATGCTTTAATTTTGGTATGTGTATATTTCGATGTACGAAAAATAAGAGCTCATACAGCTATCTCTGAGGCTTGCAGGCCTCCTTTTATGTATATGTAATAATATTCTTGTTTTTCGTTGCTTAGGCGATTCTCAATGGAAGAGTTTCCGGGCCCTACATCCAAAAACGTGCCGGAGCTAGTTCTAAATGTGTATACTAGTGTATTGTTTGGTGCCATACTTAACTTTGGCCTGGACTGGTGCACTGTTGGTACAAGACTGAATTGGACTGCCGGATCTTATTGATGCACGAATTCCAAGTGAAATGCCAAATCTGACCCCTAAATTCTCTCCTCATTAGGGCTGTCATGTTTGGGGTTGACTATGATGATTGCATTTTGCTAAAATTGAAATCAGGACTGTCATGTTTGGTGGTTTTGTTCAAATTGGGAACTGTCTGTGATTGTATATATGCTAATATGCTTACATTTAATGCTTTTTCATTTTCCTTTCAGTTGGCAACTGATCACTGTGGTCGTGGAGCTTCCCCCGCGTGGTTTGTGCTCTTTTCTTCTTCAACTTTTTGGGGGTCTTGCGTATGTTTCTATGACCATTTCTCTGATACTTATGTTTGATTCTACTAGTGTTGTAGGATAGACCATTTGGAATTTTTGAAAACTGTCAAAAGTTATTTATTTTAATTACATAATGCTGCAAACTCCAGCTTTCTTCCATGCTCTAAGTAATTGTTATGCTTTTAATTTTTGTTTGTGTTGATGCATGTTGTATGTATCCCTTACTTTGTTCTTTGGTCAATACTCAAGTACTATTTTCATTTCTTGTTATATGCAATATGGTTATACTTGGCTGTTCACAAACTTTCTTTTTTTACTAGCTCTTGTTATTTCCTTATTTCTCCTCTTTTAATCCTCTTGAGAATGCTTTTCCCTGTTTCATGTATTTCTTATTAGTAGGACAGTGCTTAAGACTTTAGAATTTTGTAAAACTTTGATCCATATGTTAATGTTTTGGCAGATTGGTATGGTTAGGGAGGCTCCGGCCAAAGCAAGTCGAGCTTGTAATGTACTGCAATTCTAGCTCCTCAATGTTGGTGTAGATGCTTCGTACTGTATTCTCTTTCTTTTCAAGCTTTTAATGTTGGATTGAAATATTTATATCATGTAGTTATTAACAATTTGAGAGTTGGAAACTATCAAGTACTGTGCAATGTTTCGTGATAATTGTTGAATGAAGATATGACTTCTATTTATTTTAGTTTGGCAATACAAGAGTTGAATGACGTGCGGGAGAACAAAAAATGCATTGTTACATCACTTGATAAACCTAGATTCGACCGATGTCATAACTATAATAAACATCATATTATAACATGAAGTGTTGTTTTTACCTCTTAAGACATCGGGAAATATATCATTATACTGGTTCTTGTTAAAAAGAATCGCAAATATGAAGAAAAAGATGCTCATAACAGTCAGACACTACAATGTGTGAAAATAACTGATGCCAAATACCTAAATTACATCGGAAAATATATCATAAGTGATGTGGTTCTTATGAAAAGGCATCAGTGGTATATAAAGGCAACAAAATTTGGACGAAAGTCAATAACTGAAGCTCATTAAGGCATCATTTTGGTTGAAGAAACCGATGTTGTTTATGTAAAAGACATCGATTTTTCCCGATGACTTTATACCCTCCTTTAACATCACATTACGAGGCATCGGTTTGTGATAGTAAAAGGCATCAATTTTCTCCGATGCCTGTTAGCCATTTTTTTGGTAGTGTGAACTCTCGGATGGATGTCTCGATTGCTGAGTTGATTGCTCCTTTTTATATCAAGGGATGACTCATAGTTAAACCATACATGTCGATGTGGGATTAAATACATTATTCTAACATATATAGCCATGATTCATATCCAACAATTAGAACCATGTATGTTGAGGTTCGATCCCAAGGAATAATATTTTTTCCTCTCAAATCCTTACATGGGGTCATAAAGAATATATATTCCCCTTTCCGTTGAGGGATTTTTCAAATAATTTTATTTGAGAGACACTCTTTAGAGTACTATACAAATTTTTTTTTCAACGATCCAAACTGTCTAATTTTGAAGTCTTCATTCATAGATATTCCTTGCAAAAAATCAGACAAATTGAAACTCATTAAGGCATCTAATTGAAACCAACAAAATCAATGAACACGGTGCTTCAAGAAAGTACACAAATTTCAATAATTTAATTGAATGGTCAAATGATATCGGATTCTTTTATTTTTATTTTTGGAGATGATCTTAGAATGAATATCCACACAATAGACGGTTTGGATTAGTGAAGGGATGTGAGAGGGAAAAAATATATATATATGTGTGTGTGTGTGTTGACAGAAGTGTGAGAATATAGCTTGGAAAGCAAGCTAATGCCCACTTTACAATATTCCTCCACTTTTATCTATATATAAAGGGGAGAAATATACCATGTTTTGAAAGTGGACAAGGCAAAGCAATCTTCAACTTTGATCAGCTTCCAACTGATACGTACAATGACATTTACCAATATGCTGAAGGCGTTGGGTTTGCTCAACAATGGTCCAGCTCCAGAGCAATGCTACAATCCAAATAGTACCAGAGGCACTCCTGCACCTGCTACTTCCAAAGGATATAATCATCCAGGTTATTCTCCTCCTCCTCCTCTTCCTAATGTGGTTAATGGATATCCAGTTAATAATAATTACACTCCTAATCCTGCTCCTAATGCTGCTCCTGCGTACTACTACTATTATCCCACACAACCAGCCCCAACTAATCCTTCAAAATTAAGCCATGATAATGTGACGTCGTTTGTTCCTCATGGACATGACATTAGTGAGGGCTTAAAGCCACCCAATGCATATGACAATAGTTCCTCAATTGCTGGACCTGACCAACCGGCAAATTCGAAAATTAGAATTAGTACTTGTGCTAATCCCCAGCTGCCCAAGAATAATGGAAAAGTTGACAAGCACACGAATATTGGAGAAAAGAATGGCAAGAAAAAGAACGGGAAAAAAAAGAGTTCCAGATCAAGCGGCGATTCATTCAAGGTTCATGGGAATACTATTAATGGAGGCAAGGGCGACAAGGTTGGAGTTTTCGACTTTGGTAACAAGTATAGTAGAGGAGGCAAGAAGAGAGACGAAGAAGAAGAAGACTCGACTGAAGAAGAAACTGACTCCGGTACTGAAGACGAAAGAGATTAGTTCTGAAGTAATTACTACATATATGATGGCAACAGTAAATAATGGAGTTGTCAAAATATATAGGCAACTTACATGGTACTTAAAGATCAAATTCAACAATCTTCTGTAAATGTTATCTAGTCACTCTTGATTTCAAAGAAAAAAAAAATTGTGTAACGATTATATCCAGCTATTCAATCGCAGTTATGGTGGATATGTATTCAATCTTATGAAATTATATTTCATTTGAGAACAGTTATTTTCAAATAGCAAGTACTCAAAAAATATGTTGGGATTAAGCAATCTTTTTTTATTTATTTATTAAAGGCCAAAGACTAAAGACTTTATTCATCAGTAGAATGCAGAGAACACAAATCATCTGAAGGTAAGAGTGAAGCCAGCTAGGCCCCCTTCAATCCAGTAACATGTCTCATTACAAGATAAAGTAAATTTGGCTAATTGGTGAGCCACAAAATTACATGAATGAGTGCTCATGTGAAATTCAGTTCGGTTCACGGCCTTAATCACCTCCAAACAATCACATTCAATAATCAACCTTATGAATCCTGCATCTAATGTCATATGACAACCTAGGCTTCAAAAGCCTTAGGGAAAGACAGCCAATTACAGATTTAGCCATGGCATCCATTAATTCTTCATTGGCATTTCGGACTACTTCCCCATCTTTCTATCAACCACGCAACATGCTATCAACAATTAATTTTAGCAAATCCCCCTCAGGAGGTTTCCAACGACAAGTTACTAATTGGGACTAAGTAATCTGCAAAGTGACTGGAAGATTATTTTTTCTAGCCACTTGAAAAATGTTACTCTATTTAGCTATGTGCCAGTTGGTTTATTATTATTATTATAATATTTTAGAAATAAAAAAGTAGGACTCATGTTCTTATTTTAAATTTTTTTCAGACTGTTAATTTACTATATTACCCTTATTGAATATCAAAAGTTTCATTTCTTGATAAGCTCATTAACTAATGGAATTTTTTGCTTTCATTTTTAACTTGTACACAACATTTTCCAATAATAAAATAATAACTCTTATTGTAAACATTTTCTAATAATAAAATAATAACTCTTATTAGAAACACCTACATATATGTTATGCGTGTGACAATGACAGAATAAAAAAGATAAAGAGAGAAAATGATGATAAAAAAGATTAGGATTAGCAAAGCCTCTTCTTTTACATAATAGTCTTGATAGATATGTTTCCTAAAAACGTCCTCAAAATGCTTTCACGGGTTGGAGCCTAATTTTCCCAATAATATTAAACCATATCACCAACAAATGTAGTGCAATAGTGGGTCTTGGAAAAGGTTTAAAGTTAGAATCTCCCTCCATGTCATGACTCATACATAACATTTGAGGTGTGAAACATCCTTCAACCAAGAAAAACTGGAAGCCATAAAGCTTTACATCTTCGTAGCAAAAGAGAAAGGGTATATATACTCTACTTTTTGTAAAAAGATAAGGTATAGTCAGAATAAAATTTTCTTTTTATTTGATGGTGCGAATGACTAAGCAGTGACAGATTTATTTAAGGGTGAGTGAAGACTATTACCCTTATTAGGTCTTTTTTGTCGTCCGTGAAATTCAATTGATACTCTTTTGAGCAAAGTGCTATGGGGACCAACTGTTTGATAAAATTCCTTATATATAAATTATCTAGCACCCACCATCTTCTTTTTGTTTGATGCTAAGAATAAAGTTCATTCATTGTATTATCGATCAAGTATGGCTAACTCCTTAATAAAAAAAACCCAATTCTCTAGCCCAGTGGCGGATGTAGGAATTGTCACTCATGAGGTCATAGTGTAAACTACCCAATAATTTTTTAAGATGAAAAAAAAAATATTGAAAATGAAACAATAGTACTTTCACTCATAATTAATGTCAAAAACAATATTACAAGTTATAATTGTCCACGACAAGGTTTCATATTTTGAAAACGTAGCATTATAACTTTATTTTCAATACAAGCAAAAACATCTCTCTTAATATAAACCAACAAGCTATCATTCAGAAGCGGCAAGGGAGGAGATAGTGGTGGAGGTCTTGGGGAGATTGGGGTTAGGGTTGTTGTTGAGGAGAAATATGAAAAATGGGATTTTGGAGGTCTATTTTCGGGTCTGTGTTGTTAAGAAGCTGCTTTTGTTTTTTTTTTTTTTTTTTTTTTTTTTTTTTTTTGTTTGTTTGAAAGTCCTAGCCCAAAACGACGTCGTTTTGGCTAGGTCATTTAAAAAAAATTGCTTTGGCTAAAACGACGTCGTTTTGCCGAGCAGTTTTTTTTCAAAAAAAAAGAAAAGAACCCCAGCTGCCCACCGAAGCTTCTTCTTCTCCATGGGGTCACTTCCAGGGCAGCCAAGGGCAAAAACCAGTCCCTACCACTAAAATCCAGATCTGCCATGGGGTCGTCTGACCCCATGGTGGATTCGCCACTTCTCTAACGTTCACGCATACGACTTCATTGGAATATTCAAAAAGCGTTTGAAAGCTTTCAGGAATCGGAAGCCAATTCTTTACGTGCTAAGTAAGAATCATATTCCGTCCATACCAGGAAGGAATATCAATCGGTCACATCGCATTATCTTCTCGACAAAGCTAACACTTATATAAAAACCCAAGTTAATTACCAAGATGTGTATGCAAACTTAAGATAAAAAATGTCGACAGGCCAGCTATTTCTAAAGCCTAACTTGGAGAACCAAAACAGCAGGTTCTCGAGGCCACCAGGTAATGCCCCTCAGCCAGCAGCTGCTTCCAAGAGCAATAATGGAAGAAGTGGCAGCAAAGCAAAGAGTGGCTCTAAGAAAAAGAAAGGCAAGCCATCAGGCGATAATTTCAGAATTAGTGGGAATACTATTAACGGAGGCAAAGCAGACAAGGCCGGAGTTTTCGGGTTTGGCAACAAGTACATTGGCCGCAAGAATCAGGTAGAAGAGGAGTCCAGTTCTGGAAGCGAAAGCGATGACTCCAGTGAAGACAGAGAGTGAAGTGTATAATAGATGGTTGTCGACCATAATTAAATAATGGCTTTTCCACTGCCTCTTAATATGCACTGAACTACCAAAAATAGCTAGAATAACAGAGGTTTCGTAGGCCTGTCTCTTGTTATACATATATGTCTGTAATTTAAAGAGAAATAATATATAGGCAAACCTTGCTGTATATATGATCCACCAAATCCAAAGATTAAACCCAACTCCTTGATGAAAATTTGGATCTATATTAACTTTTTATATTTATTTCTTCATACAACAAACTACCAATTGTTATAGAGGTAATATTTTGCGACGTTAATTGTTATAGGCAACCACAAAGTGTCATATTATTTTTCAGTCAAATTCGGAGTAGATTAATGATTTGCAAGCATATACATTTTGTGCAATGGACTGAAACAAACAATCTGTGACTCTGTCTTTGGTGCTTAAACTTTGGCAGGTTTGAATTATATGGGTGTAGCAAGGACAACTCTTGCTGTTAAGAGCTACAACAAGGAGAGGTTGGAGGTGTTTGACTGGGAGCTATCAGAAGATGACCTTGGCAAGATCAATTAAATCCCACAGCACAAAATGATGAGGAGAGAGAAGAACTGGATTCGGCTGATGGATTATTATCACGATACAAATCCGTTGAAGAATTATTATATTAACATATCAGCTTAATTTGAAAAGGACTAGATTCTTATATTAAGGAAACTTCGTAATGTCTTAATTGTTTGCTGGTCGTGAAGCACCATTATAATTGGCCCCATTATTAAGAGGACTTCCACCCACAAGGGCTAAGTCTAAGACAAGGGCAAGCAAGGGCTGCCACTATTCACGTGAATAGTGTCAGCCTTTGCATTTGTGGTTCCACCCATGAGAGCTAAGTCTAGGGCAAGTTTAAGGCAAATACTATTCATATGAGATATGAGGAGATGAATTTGTATATAGTTTTTGGTGTGGGAAGTAAAGAATACGCCAAACTATTTTCTCTCACAGCTGATTTTTCTCACATTAAATCTGACAGCTATTATTTTCACAGCACAGCAATACCAAACTGGCCCTTAATAGCTAAAAAGGTCAAACCAATTTCCGGTCATGAGTCAAAGTAGTTCAAAACTTTGTGAAAATGAGTCACTACACTGATCACAATCCACAAATCCCAAGGAGTCACTCTTTGGGTTTGGTACTGTGTGAAGTGAATATTGCTAGCCCCACCAAAATAAAAATAAAATAAAAAATAAACAAGATGAAAGAAGAACTTTTATGGAGTGAATGTGTTCGGCCGGTAAGGTTCCAAATGCCAGACTAATCAGTTGGTTTGGTTGTTCCAAGGATAAGAAAATTCTGTGGAAACTAGTAAAGCAAGCATTTATTCGTGTAGATATATCATATATATGGGAAGTCGTAAAGGGTTTTATAATTTTGTGGATTATTCTCTCTCTTACACCAACAAAGTTTACTTTGGCATCGAATAATTAACTAGAAGGTTAATCTTATTGAAACAGAAATCTCTCTTCTGACTTCTCTATGTGTTCTTCACTCAATCTACTTTATACACATATTCCCCTAAGTTGCTGTTGAAAGAATGCACATGATATTGGTTTAAAAATAACCTAACAACCAGGAACTGGTTTAAACTAAAATTTTGTTTGCGACATTTCAAGACATGATGTTTGGTCATCCTACTGAAATTCATGTATTCTATTTCAGGACATTTTCACAGCTGGGAGTGAAACATTATCATTGACAATGGAATGGGCAATGTCAGAAATACTGAAAGCACGAATAAAGACAGGAAAAAAAATATCTATATATATATATATATATATATATATACCCTGTATTAAGTGACTACGAGATTTAGACTTAAAAAACAAGGGGATCAACAATAAATTTCTCATTGTCTGTTCCTCCTATCCCCAACCCACCATCATTCAATAATTTACGAAAAATAAATTCATGTCACCTAAAACCCGCGTTAATTCTTAATAAAACAAAATTATAGCCAAAGGAATTTCCAAAGACACAGCCCAACAAGTACTGCATAGACATGCAAAAACAAGAAGAATGAGACGTTCAAATACTGCACTACAGTTCTAGAAAAAATTTACATGTTATAATCTTGACAGGAACAAAAATGTCATAAAATAAATGATGAGCATAAAGATCCAAAGTTCCTCACCATACCGGTCGAAGAAAAGCTCCTGGAAAAGCTAAGAGGCATCAACATTAGCAGCGATCGGCTCTGGCCCTTCTGTCTCAGGCCTCCTTCGCCGGATCTGGCCATCTCCAACGACATGCTGTATGGAGTCACCGCCACTTTGCCGTCGCAACACCTGGACTTAGGGGAGAGAGAGAGAGAGAGAGAGAGAGAGAGAGAGAGAGAGAGAGAGAGAGAGAGAGAGAGATAAAGTACGGAGTCACAGCCACTTTGCCGTCGCGACCTTGGGACCCAGGAGAGAGATCTGATTTTGGCAAAGGCTTAAAAAAAAAGAGGGTAAAATTGTATTTTGTGTTTATAATTTAGATAGGCCCAACCAATTTAGGTCTCCTCTTTGGCCAAATTCAAAACAAAATTTGATTCGAAGGTATTAAACCTCAAACAGAAATACTTTATATCTGAAAAGCTAATTAATAAGGATAGTTATGTAATACCTAATTTTTCTAAGTATATAAACCCTTTCTCTTTTGCTAGGAAGACGTAAAGCTTTATGGCTACCAGTTTTTCTTGGTTGAAGGATGTTTCACACCTCAAATGTTATGTATGAGTCATGACACAGAGGGAGATTCTAACTTTAAACCTTTTCCAAGACCCACAACTGCACTGCATTTGTTCGTGATATAATTTAATATTATTGGGAAAATTAGGCTCCAACCCGTAAAAGCATTTTGAGGACGACGTTTTTAGGAAACATATCTATTATGTAAAAGAAGAGGCTTTGCTAATCCTTATCTTTTTTTTATCATCATTTTCTCTCTTTATCTTTTGAGTAATGCTATTTGGACACACAACATTGACCGCCTTAACTGACCACCTTATGTGGCAACTGATGTGTCATGCTATGTCAATTAATGAATGTTGCCATGAGGCCACTCACTAGGAATGCTAGGGTTTTTTAATTTGTTTTTAATTGACATGGCGACATTCATTAATTGACATGGCATAACACATCAGTTGCCACATAAGGTGGTCAGTTAAGGTGGTCAATGTTGTGTGTCTAAATAGCATTACTCTTATCTTTTTTATTCTGTCATTGTCACACGCATAACATATATGTAAGTGTTTCTAATAAGAGTTATTATTTTATTATTAGAAAATGTTTACAATAAGAGTTATTATTTTATTATTAGGAATGTTGTGATTCTCATAGCTAAATAGAGTAACATTTTTCAAGTGGCTAGAAAAAATAATCTTCCAGTCACTTTGCATATTACTTAGTCCCAATTGGTTACTTGTCGTTGGAAACCTCATGAGGGGGATTTGCTAAAATTAATTGTTGATGGGGGCATGTTGTGTGGCTGATAAGATGGGGCTAGTAGTAGTAGCCCGAAATGCCAATGAAGAATTAATGGATGTCATGGCTAAATTTGTAATTGATTGTCTTTCACCTAAGGCTTTTGAAGCCCAGGTTGTCATATTGAAATTGGTACTTAGGTGACGAGGGGTAAATTTAAAAGATATTCAACCAAAAACGCAGCAAACTTCACACACTCTAGACCTTGACCAAATACTCAAACTCTAATGACTAGTCAACTGTCAGATATGAATTATACCAAACAATAACATACACAAAGCATACCAAGATGAACCTACAAGCCTAGAGAATTACTAGTGACAACTTAGGCACTTAGAAGGACCCATCAATCTAGGCATTCCTTGTGCTAGCAACAACTATGGTGAAAGTGTGTGAAGACAGCATAATCAAGCAAACACCAAACAGCAGAAAAAGATGACTAGTCAACCGCACAAACCCAGATGACTAGTCAACTATCAAGAACACAAACCCAGAAAATTTACAGAGATGGAAACCAGAAACTGTTCACCCAGAAACCCACCATTAGGAAAAACTGGGGGTCATCAACCGACCAAGCAATCCACTAAGTAGAAAAATATTCTTACAAAGGAACACAAGCAAGCTCAAGAAAAACCTAGATCTATTTAGGAAGATGAGCTATACCTCCTTTGTGCAATCTTCTTCTCCAACTTAGCAAAGCTTGAAGCTCAGTTCTTCATGGAATGGCAGCTCCTTCTCCAGCTCGTTCATCCCATGGCACTAGCTTGCAAGTTCCAACACAAATTGAAACCAAAATTTGGATTCAAAGGAGAATGACCAATTTCTTCAAGAAACCATACTCTTGAAGAAATCAGTCTTAAATCTGACCTAGATATAAATGAGAGAATGATTTAAGTAGCTAGATGCAGATTCGTGTTTCAAATGTAGTTTTTCAAAAAGAAATCAATTGGAAAAACTCATAGATGAAATATTTGGTTCTCTCTTGAGTAAGAAGAAGAGAAAGATAGCAAGCCAATCTTTCCAAAACTTCCACCCAAAAGAGACAGCCGCCAAATGAGCAAATCTGTAGCCTTTATAAACCAAAAAATATTCCTTAGGTCAGAAACACACATGGCAGCTGAGAGAGAGAAAGGAGAATATGACAAAATAGTTTGTTATCCAACTGGAAATCCTACAGAGTAAGGATGACTAGTCATATGAGAAACGGATGACTAGTCATAATTTTATGAAGACTGTTTAATGTAATGATATGCAATGCACAATACCTTTGTCAATTTGCTTGAATCTCCATAGAATAGAAGTTAGATAAGAACATCAAGAGAAGCTTTTCTTAATCTAAACTTGAGCTTGATAAATAACAATACAAATCCTATTACAAAGTTGTCAAGGGAAGCCAAAAAAAATTACAAGAACCATACATTCACACATATGGCATTAGATGCAGGATTCATAAGGTTGATTATTGAAAGTGATTGTTTGGAGGTGATTAAGGCCGTGAACCGAACTGAATTTGAAATGAGCACTCGTTCATGTAATTTTGTGGCTCACCAATTAGCCAAATTTGCTTTATCTTGTAATGAGACATGTCACTGGATTGAAGGGGGCCTAGCTGGCTTCACTCTTACCTTCAGATGATTTGTGTTTTCTGCATTCTATTGATGAATAAAGTCTTTAGTCTTTGGCCTTTGGCCTTTAATAAATAAATAAAAAAAGATTGCTTAATCCCAACATATTTTTCGAGTACTTGCTATTTGAAAATAACTGTTCTCAAATGAAATATAATTTCATAAGATTGAATACATCCACCATAACTGCGATTGAATACCTAGATATAATCGTTACACAATTTTTTTCTTGTTTGAAAGCAAGAATGACTAGATAAAATTTACAGAATATTGTTGAATTTGATCTTTAAGTACCATATGTAAGTTGCCTATATATTTTGACTACTACATTATTTACTGTTGCCATCATATATGTAGTAATTACTTCAGAACTAATCTCTTTCGTCTTTATAACCACACAATAAAATTTCTTTCGTCTTCATTACCAAAGTCAGTTTCTTCTTCGTCTCTCTTCTTGCCGCCTCTACTATACTTGTTACCAAAGTCGAAAACTCCAACCTTGTCGCCTTTGCCTCCATTAATAGTATTCCCATGAACCTTGAATGAATAGCCGCTTGATCTGGAACTCTTTTTTTTCCCGTTCTTTTTCTTGCCATTCTTTTCTCCAATATTCTTGTGCTTGTTAACTTTTCCATTATTCTTGGGCAGCTGGGGATTAGCACAAGTAATAATTCTACTTTTCGAATTTGCCGGTTGGTCAGGTCCAGCAATTGAGGAACTATTATCATATGCATTGGCTGGCTTTAAGCCCTCACTAACGTCATGTCCATGAGGAACAAACGACGTCACATTATCATGGCTTAATTCTGAAGGATTAGTTGGGGTTGGTTGTGTGGGATAATAGTAGTAGTACGCAGGAGCAGCAGTAGGAGCAGGATTATGAGTGTAATTATTATTAACTGGATATCCATTAACCACATTAGGAAGAGGAGGAGGAGTAGAATAACCTGGATGATTATATCCTTTGGAAGTAGCAGGTGCAGGGGTGCCTCTGGTACTATTTGGATTGTAGCATTGCTCTGGAGCTGGACCATTGTTGAGCAAACCCAACGCCTTCAGCAAATTGGTAAATGTCATTGTACGTATCAGTTGGAAGCTGATCAAAGTTGAAGATTGCTTTGCCTTGTCCACTTTCAAAACATGGTATATTTCTCCCCTTTATATATAGATAAAAGCGGAGGAATATTGTCAAGTGGGCATTAGCTTGCTTTCCAAGCTATATTCTCACACTTCTGTCAACATATATATATATATATATATATATGGGGGGCGGATCCGTGGCACTATGTTTTTGACACAAGTTTTGACATAATTTTTGGGCCATTAGATTACTCCACTTTCAATGGTTGAGATTAAACCTCACATGGTAAGAAGTTTTAATTTTTTTAAATAGACAATCATTAATTTTATTTTCTCTCTCATAAAAATAAAAGAAATGATTTTCTCTCTCCTCCCTTTTTTCTTGGAGACGTAATCCCAACTGCCTCTTTAATATCTAATATTTATTAAGGTGTAATAAATAAAGAATTTCACCAAAAACTAAAGGCCCAAACCGTGCATGCATATGCAGCCATCAATTCATCTTATGTAGTTTTTTCTTTTATGTCAAAGCAATTTCGCCTATGTTAATACAGATATTGTATAATCAAAATATTGGAGCACCCACAAGATATTTCCTCCAACTCTTAGTCCCATATCTCCGGGAAAATTAATTAAATTTCAAGTCAACTCCCAATCATAGCTGTAGCTAATTTCTAGAATGGTAAATGCCCAGTTTATTAAGCTCATGAATTCACAACAATCTGTAGCTCAAAGAATGACTTTCCCCCCAAGGCTACCTGTATATATTGTATAACCCGACCATGCCAGGTGCCATCTTGGACATTGTTCATCTCTAATGTTTTGATATTCCTGTTCACATTGTAAGAATACTATCTATAAGTTTTCAAGCATAAAAATCTTAATCAAAATTAAGCCATTTGTCTACTTTCAATGATCTAAAGAATTTCAATAGTTCCCAAAGGATAGCTGCCGGTCATAGAACTTATTTTTTTAATCATGAATGGTGATTCAATTAAAGAATTCTAAGCTCATCTAATTGGTAAAAGTGAAGGTTGATCAGTGGAACTTGCCTTCTTCACGAGATAATCAACAAGTGTTGTGGCATCAAATTTTCACTATGTATTCTCTCTCTATTAAAACGATAAAAGTTCTTAATGAAAAAAAACACAGTAATAGTCAAAATTTTCAGATATGAGAAGATTAAAATCCCTAAATCAAACCCTCAAAAGAGATGGAGGTCTTTTCTAGTTTCATGAAAGAGAGGGAGGGAGGAGACTCTTGTTGCAGATAAAGAGAGAAAAAGAGATCGATGTTTTTTATGGTCTCATGAAAGAGAGTGAGAGAGATGTGTGCGAGAAAGAAGAGAGATTAAAGGGAGGAGAGAGAAAATTGTTTCTTTTATTTTTATGGTGAGAGAGAAAATAAAATTAATGATTGTCTAATTAAGAAATTAAAATTATTTCCCATGTCAAGTTTAATCTCAACCACTGAAAGTAGAGTAATCTAATGGCCCAAAAATTGTGTCAAAACTTGTGTAAAAAATATAGTGCCACGGATCCGCCCCCTATATATATATATATATATATAAAATTTTCTCACATCCTTACACAGGTTCATAAAGTGATAAGGGACACCCTTGTAAGGCCCACTCCACATTATATTTCATTAATCTAAACCGTTTATTGTGTGGATATTCATTCTAAAATCATCTCCACCAAAAAATAAAAATAAAAAAACTTGAATCCGATATCATTTTGACCATTCAATTAAATTATTGAAATTTGTGTACTTTTTTGAAGTGTCGTGTTCATTGATTTTGTTGGTCTCAAGTAGATGCCTTAATGATTTTCAATTTTTCTGATTTTTTGCAAAGAAGATCTATAAATGAGGACTTCAAAATTAGACAGTTTGGATCGTTGAAAAAGAAATAGTATAGTACCCTAAAGGGTGTCTTTCAAATAAAACTATTTGAAGAATCCCTTAACAAAAGGGGACTAGTACTATATATATACATATATGTACATATATGAATATTATTCCTCGGGATCGAACCTCAACATAAATGAGGTTCTAATTGTTGGATATGAATCATGGCTATATATGTTAGAATAATGTATTTAATCCCACATCGACATGTATGGTTAACTATGAGTCATCCCTTGATATAAAAAGGAGCAATCAACTCAGCAATCGAGACATCCATCCGGGAGTTCGCTGTTTTCGGGTTCGAGGATAATAAAGTCAAGGGGAACCAGGGCAAGGTGAAGGGATTTAACAACTTTGGCAACCAGTACTACTGACTGAGCAGGAAGAAAGTGAATATGTACGTACTAAAATATCTACACTAAAATAAGAGCTGATGCAATATCTATACTATCTGAGATTTTGAATGGGCGCTTGACATTAATGGGTTATTAATATTAATATTAATAAATTAATGGGCGCTTGACATTAATGTCAACTTCGTTTAGATTATGAATGAAAAATGTCAACAAATAATTTGCCTCCCGCCTGTATCCTGCTGCCATCATAAATAAACAAAATTCAAGTCATAATATTCATAAGTTTGGCTTTTTGACGCACTAAAAATTTGTTACTAGTTTAGCAGCCAAAAACACACACAATTAAGTCGTCAAGGACGTCATTAGTATAAGTATATAAATTGGTCTCTAATAAAGATAATCTCCCTAGCATTTTCCTTGGATAATCAGAACAAGTTCATCAAACTTATGAGTTGTTAACACAGAGATCGAGCAAAGCTTCATGCTGTACGGTAAATGGATGAAGTGGTTGTTAGGTCCCATTTGCATTTTTACTATAATTTAATGCCACATGATACGATTAGAGTTGTATAAAATCAACATCCAATAAAATTTATAGGAATCTGGTCAAACACATGCAAAAGCTAAAGTGCTGTCCTCTCAAATGGGAACCTGTGAATTCCATTGGCTGTGAATTTATCAACTCTTTGGTCCAAAGGTTTTGGAAAGAAAGGTTCTTATCTCAAAGGAAAATTCCGTAAAGCACTACTTATTTGTCGGTAGTAAAACAAGGTTCTTATCCCATTTGAACTGTGATATAGAGACTTTTTTTTTTCCGTTTACAATATTTTATGGTAAGTTTAATTATTAGACATACCATATGGAAAATATGCTTGTTCACTCGTTATTAATAAATTTTCGCAATTTAAAGATCATCACTGTAAAAAAATCAATGAAAAATATATTAGATATGGATCTTTCTTTTCCGAAAGCTATATATGTCACCTTCATTATCCTTATCAAATTTGAACTTGCCATATTTGCTTGAACTCAACTTATTTGAAATTAAACATACAATATCATAAGAATAGAACTCCTCAAAGTTATAGGAATTTCTTGAAATTATTACTAACTAAACTTCCCACCATCCATCTTTCAAGGACCCAACTTACAAAAACAAGTCACAAACTAGCTCTCAACCAAGCCTGTTTGAAAGCGCTCTCTTCCCTCCTCCATTGATTGAAAAAAGAAAAAAGAAAAAAAAAGACTTACGAAACAAGCCATGAATACTTACTAGAACAATATTCTTATGGTAATGTCTTATTTATATTTGTTGGTTGTTCTGTTATTGTAATGGCCCTTTATGGCTAGTTTGTATAGGTCTTTTATAACTAGTGGTTTTTTTGACTGAATTATGAATTCAATTTTAGAATTTCTCAACCAAAAAAAACATCAACTGACGCACATGGATAATGGATCTCTCTCTTTTGAAAACAGCTAAAAGCAACTCCATATCCTTAGTGAATTTATTCTTGATTAGTTTTGTTGAATTCATCATCTTAGAATTATTCCAACTTAATTACGTAACACAGCTTACGTATGCAACTGAGCTTCACACATAGCTGAGCAATTAATTGGTCGTATGTAGCAGAGAAATTAAAAAGATATTTACCCCCAAAAAAAAAAGTCAAGAAAAGTCATTAGGCCCGTACTGTAGTATATTATTTCAAGAAGATAAATGTAAATTATATATATGTGAAGAATCTTATGATCAATAATATAGAATTTGTATTATCCGCTGCGCGCATGCCAACATCTATAAAAGGAGACAATGAGGCAATTAGTCGATCATCCAAGCAAACTCACAGATTCCAACTAAAAACTAATCAGCAAGAGACTGACGAGTCACGAAGTGAAAAATCAGGTGAGAGACACAGTTGAGGGAGGCTTCGACACCCTCCACAGGGTTGCCGACGTCGTGACTTTTCCTTTGGGCCCTCTGGAAGGTGCCATTCATGGCACGGCCCGAGGGGTCGTCAACTGGCTCACAGATACCCATCCTGATAGATCCAAGTCCAAGCAAATTCCTCCTCTAACAAGAAAGACCTCTACGCCCGTAGCTATTTATGAAGAATATTATTATAAATATAGAATCTGTATTATTATCGTTTGCAAATTGCATATGATATGCGCTTGCCAACATCTATAAATGGAGACCATGAGGCAATAAGTCGGTCATCCAAGCAAACACACAAATTCCAACTTAAAACTAATCAGCAAGACAATGACGAGTAAACAAGTGAAAAATCAGGTGAGAGACACTGTTGAGGGAGGCTTCGACACCCTCCACAGGGTTGCCGATGTAGTGACTTTTCCTTTGGCCCCTCTGGACGGTGCCATCCATGGCACGGCCCGAGGGGTCCTCAACTGGCTCACAGATAACCATCCTGAAGATAGATCCAAATCCAAGCAAAAATGTCTTCCCAAACCACAACAACAACAATGCAACAACGGTGGCGGCTACGGAGGCGGCTACGGAAACGGGCGCGGCTACGGAAACGGCGGCGGCTACGGAAACGGTGGCGGCTATGGAAATGGAGGGGGCTATGGCGGAGGAAACGGTGGCTATGGGGGTGGTGGATATGGTGGAAATCCTGGTTCTGGAAATCCCAACCGCAGAAATTTCAATTTTAAAGGGAATGAGGTTAGCAACAACGAGGGCCCAGCTTTTGGATTTAACAACTTTGGCAACAG